GGACAAGTTTCTTTTATAAAGTCGAAAAACCTGAGGAGATCTTTGGTTTTAACATTAATGCCTCTAGATTGAAGAGTGTCTTTTAACTGGGAGACGTACAATTCATGCTGACTAAGCTCCTGTCCCATGTTTTAATGTCGTGTTAGTGCTACAACAACCATAAAACTAAATAGAAGCTATAACAGTTTAAGGACTTAGGGGGAGGAAGATCCAGGGGTCCACCATAGCCGTAAAGGCCGTGGTGGGGTGCGTTCCCCTCTCACTGGGACGTCGGAGGTCTGCCGGACTGTCAACGGCCAGAGTCCCCGCTATAGTCCTCAGTGAGTTGGAAGCTTCCGAGAAGGGGGACTTACTCGTAGGAGAGGTCAAATCCATTGATCAGACGGCGAAGAAACGGGATCTGCAGATGGAAAACACCTTAAAAACTTTTCATAAAACGGGGGGCATGAGCCCGGGGGACTGTTAGGCAAGACTTTATAGGGCCTGGGCCCGGGGGATTATCGGTCAGAAAAAGAGAAGGAAACCGATAACCGGTGAGACAAAAGAAAACCGCCGGTGAGCCTGGGGGCCCCACGTTGGGCGCCACTGCTGCGAGGGGCCTTGACCTGCAAGGCCGGGGAGTCGGGGCCCCAGGTCCGGTGAACAAAAGAAACAGTCACACGCGTGTAGCAGAACAAAGAGAGAGAGAGTTCTTTATTTTGTTTTTATTTAGTTTATATAAAATACAAGAGGTGGGGGATGCAGAAGTCGGGAATGGAGAAAGCCAATGGACAATAGACATGCAGCAATGTTTTGACGGCAGTTGGTCTCGCGAGGGGCGAAAGTGGGCGAGAATGGAGCAATGTTTTGGCGACAGTTGGTTTCGCGAGGGGTGAAAGTGGGTGAGAAAAGAAAGAGGAGAAGGAAAAGGTGGGGGCAGGGAGTTCTTCCCACATGCCTTTTACAACCCGGATGTTTTTCTCTATCCGGACTCCATTTCACCTTTTTACGACTGCTGACAGACGCCAGATGCCGGCCTCAGTCCCCAACATCTTTCCTTATCCCACTTTTTAACATAAGATGACAAACATTATTGAATTTTTAAAATTTTTATTAAGTTATAATTGACAAAGAATAATTGTATAAATATAAGATGTATTACAGTTTTCCTCAGTTTTATTGAGATGTAACTGACAAACTAAGTTGTGCAAATTAATGACAAAAAGCATATATTGTGAATTACTACAATAAGTTAACATTCATCCCCTCACATAGTCCTAATTTTTCTTTTTTCTTTACATGAAAACTTTTAAGATCTTTCTTAATAACTGACTTGAAGATTTTAGACATATTTTTGCTTGTCCTTGTGAACAGTACTTGTATGATTTGTAAAACAAAATTTACCAATGATAACTTCTCTTCAGTTCCGTTACTTTACATCTAAACTATCTTGAAAGTACATAAGCTTATTAATTCTAATAATATTTATATTTTATTGCTAAAAGCATGGTGCCATTTTGATAGCTTATACTTCTCCTTTTTCATCTTCTGGTATCCTGTAAGATTCTTGTATCTTTACGGGAGTATTAATGTTTTTAACTGGCCTGTCTTTCTATGGCGTTTGGAGAATAGTCCAAAATGCATTGTTTTGAGTTTCCTATTGTATCAATTATTTGCCTTCAAATACCTACTGGGAATGAAAATGTTTTGACTGCAAGTTAGACGTTATGGGGAAGATGCATTAAGGTTCCTATGGAATCATTTCTTCCTAGTCCTTGGTATACTTGGATAGACACTCAAAGGCTGAGTCAGTTAAACTGGATTGCTGATCTATCTGCTGTTTTGCAGTCAATAAATGACAAGGTACCTGCCTCTAAGCAGGAAATCTGAATAAAGCTTTTCTGTCTTAGCCTTCAAAACCCTACAAGCCAGCTGCCAGACGCCAGTGAGTGTTATAGAAAATGACATAGGAACATGACACCCTAAATTTTTTCAGCTATAGGAACGAAAAGTTTATAGTGACATCCCCTCTGATAATAGCATAATATATGTAAGAAATAAGTCAACCGAGGCTGGTAAAAAATCTCTACCTGTGTGTATTCTAGAGAGATAGAACTAATGTGCAATGTGGAAATTTCATGTTCAATATTTTTTCTTCTACCACCCCCCTTTCTCCCTATAATTCAGAGAAGCATAGTAATTCATTTAAGAAATTTCTTTAAAGACAGCTAATTAGTCCAAAATAATTTTATACTTTGGATTATAGATTCAAATTTGGAATGGGCCATAAATATTATCTATTTCACACACTCTGTTGATTCCTAAGGCTCTCAATTCTGTTACTTTGACCCTTCCATTCACTGTTCTTATTTTCTTGGGGACCTCACTAAATATTTTAATTAATGATGAACCTTCATCATTTATTTGAAAATTATCTTGTCTCATTTTTCTTTCTTTCTTCTTTTCTTTTTTCCCTCTCAAATGTCATTGGAGAACTTCCACTCTCTTAAAATGCTTTGAGGCCCCTTACCATTGTGGTGTTTCTCTTTTGAGGGGACTTTAGTTTATCCATATCCAACGGCAGGAGAGAATGTTACAGAGTATGAGGTACTCTGTTATGAGGTAGGAAGCACAGAATAGGATAGTAGAAATATAAAGATCCTAAAAATTATACTGTTGACAATGCCTAAATTTGATTTTATTGGAGGGCATATCCTGCATCTGCTTCCTTGCACTTCTATATTATGCTTGCTTATGCTCCTGCCAGCTCTCTTTCTTTGCTCTTTCATCAGTCCTCTCTAAATAGCAGCACACCACTCTTGAAGACTCACTTTTTTCTTATTTTAAGAAAGTAGTGTTTAATTGAGTTAATATCGGCACATTCTCATTGCCACCATAGCACACTCTTGCGCACCTCTGTAATCTATTGTGCTTTCCTCCCTCTTTGTTCTTACCTCTCCTCCATCCTCTCCCTCCTTCCATAAGCTTCAGTCTTATTTTTGTTCTTCAACCTTTTGTTACATATAACAGTCAATTCTTGGACCTTTGCTGTTGTTAGCTCTTTACTTTCTCCATTAAGAAGCTCACTAATAGCTTCAATTGTTAGCTCTGCTGGAATGGTTCCTTATCTCTGTCTCCTTAAACTCAAAGAATTTGTTGTTATTCCTTCCCTGCACCTCAAACTAAATCCTAGTTGCTTTTGCTTTTCTGAACCCCAATCCTAATCCGTTTTAAAAACTGGAATCAATTGTTTTGATGTTTTTCCTTGCTCACATGTAGTCATCTCAAAGTAATGATTCATCTTTGAAGGAAAATACTCCTATCTATCCTTGCTATGTATTCTTTGTCCTGCCTTTATTATCTGAGTACTTTGGACTACAGACTACCTACAACATTTCTCTTCATCAGTCTAATTATCACAATCACAAGATCAATGATTTTTGTAAAGTAAGCTTTTTCATTTCAATTTCCTTCCTAAACATCCCAGAAGGCTTCCAGTCTCCTGAGGAATAAATGATAACGTCCTGATTTGTTTTCTCAAATGCCTTTGGAATCTCCCTCTAGCCCTCCTTTTCAGAAGTATACATTAGAAAGCTCCTCATGAGCCTCCTGCCACAGTGTGAAATACCAGTCTTTAGCTCTTGGTCTTTTTGTCCTCTTTCTAATTCACACAGCATGTCAATACCTTATCTGTCTTTGAGACATATCGTAAGTCACTCCTTGCTCTGTGAAGCTATGTCCTTTACCTTTTCATTACAAGAGACTGCTAACTTGTATTATTTTGCCTATCTAAACTACATTTTGATACTTAGATTTAACTTTTAAGAAATGTCATATAAACATGCATCATACTGCTGTCTTACAAGCTACTTAATTGTAGGGACTCTGACAACACATTTTTGCATACTCTTATTGCTAGATCAGCAACTTGCAATGTTAGACTCATCATGAAGAACTACTGGATGTTTAATTTGTCAGGTGATCAGATATATAATACTTTTCAAAGGAAGCTTTCGTACATTTCTTTAATCAAAATGGTTTCTTTCAGAAGTGTCCAGTCTTTCATGACCAATTAATTATCAACTTATATAACATAATATCAGAAGTTAAGAACTGTGCTGAGAACTCTAAAAATGGTGAAAATTCCAAAAAGCAGAAAATCAGTAGATATATTAAGGAAATAGGTAACTAGGGTCCATATTAGGCAATGACTAAGGTACGACTTGTGTCTGGAGGATAGAAATCTTAATAACCAATTGTTTTATATCCTTCCTTGTATTTGTCTTTATTCTTCTGTCATCTGTTCTTCTTTACTAACTTTTGCCTTTTACTGATCTGCATGATTTTTATCCTTGACTTCTGATTTTTTCTTTCCTTGGACTTTGTCCTTTTCTTCACCACCTCTTTTTTTTTTTAGTATTATTTTTCTATATTATTTGTCTCTGCATCTCCCCTTTCTTTGTCCTGCTTTCTATTATTCTCAGCACTGTCCTGATTTTCTTGGGACTACTTACCTTTTGGTATCCCAGCCTCGTTCTCCTTTCCAAAGGACTCCTGTCCTTCTGGTATCCCAGCTTCACCCTCCTTTCCAGTGGCCTCCTGTTCTTTTGCTATCCCAGCCTTACTCTCTTTCCCTAGGGCCTCCTTTCTTTCTGACACTCCAGCCTCACTCTCCTCTTGTTGGGTCACCTGTCCTTCTGGTGTTCCTGCTTCACTCTTCTTCACTTGGGCCTTTTCTTTTAGTACTCCAGGCTCATTCTTCTTTACTTGGATCTCCTGTTCTTTTGGTGTCCCAGCCTCATGTTTCTTTTCTTGAAATTCCTCTCCTTTTGGTGTTCCCATGTCACTCTCCCTTATTTGGGCCTCTTGTCCTTTGAGCATTGTGGCATCACTGTCCTTTACTTTGACCTGTACTCCTATCTTGCCTTTCTCCAATTCAGCCTCTTTCACTGTGCCTTCTGGCTCTATTTTGTGTGCTGATGTCAAGGATTCATTAGGACCCATGAATAAAATCCCCTTCTGTAGTTTTGTCTTGTTTTCTTCTTGGTTACTCTGAGATTTTATAACACTTTCACTTCTTTGAATCTGGGCTTTGGAGTCAGATTTGTTTGCAGATTCTTTATCCATGTAACCTGGAAATATAACTGAGCACATGACAAAAGCACACTGTTCAGATACCAAGTATTTTCTCTGCATTCCTACTCTTTTCTCTCTGATAATCATCTTAAGTTTCTCAAAACTGCAAAACTGGAGACAGCTTGAGATTTTACTGAAAATATAAAACAGTGGAACTTATACATAAAAATAGCATGTATTGATAACATGCTAGATTATTTTTGGTAAATTGGAAGATGAATGAAAGACAGGGTAAAATGTACTATGAATGAACTTGCATTTATTCTATATATTATGGCTAGTGAATAATGATAATAGCTAAAGAACAGTATATATTCTGAGGATGGAATTCTTTTTAGAGAAAATTGTGGAAAGAAGCAATAATTCTTAAAATAGAAAAAAAAAAGAAATTCACAAAAAATGTTTTTCCAAATTAAAAAAAGTACTTTTTATGCAAAAATAATAATAGTACTAGCTGATATTTTTTGAGTGCTTAGCATATACTAGGCACTCACTGAACACTTATCTGTACTAATTCATTTAATCCTCACAATGATCATGTGGGGTAGATATTGTTATCCCCATGTTACAGATGAAGAAACTGAAGCAAAGAAAGTTTAAATGAATGTGAATATACTCCTGTAGTTAGCAGGAGTGGCTAGCATTTGAACCTGAGTAGTTAGATTCCAGAATTCAATTTTAATCTGTACCCTAGATGGTGTCTCATGATATCTGTTCACTTTGTATAAATATTAGAGCTCTTTTATCATTTATAGATAACCATTTCTGCTATGTCCTAATTTATGTATGAGCTAATAAACTTGAATTTGTTAGCTTTTGCAATATTTTTTAGCGATTTGGCTCCATGAATTAAGAAAATATACACATATCTATGCTATTGTGGGACACTTATATAGCTTTGGCTATATAAGTATAATAGAGGCATGTCTTGCCTTGAGAAAATCTATTATTTAATATAGTAGAAAGAACATTGAGTTTCAAAGCTAAATAGGAATACTTGAGTTTAGCATTCCTGCTACCTGGGTTTATTTAGGTACAGAAACTCAATTACCCCATAGTTACTCTGTTACAAATAATTCTTTGTAGAGTTATTTAAGAAGCATGGCATTGAGGGATACCCTGATTCAAGCCCTGCCCACACCTAACTAGCTGGGTGATCTTGGGTAAACTTAACTTTCTTATGTAAAATGGAAGCAACACTAGTAACTATTGCACAGAAGTATTATGAGGATTAAATATTAATTAAGTAAAATGCCCATATAGTGCATAGCAGACAGAAATCAGTCAATAATTATTGGCTATTACTACTATTGAATGAGATACTATGGCAAAAATATTCTTATCTATCAAGACAAGGCATTCTTAGTTCTAACTACATAATACAAAGGGATGGTGAATTGTATCACAGTAAGACTTCTTAGTTAAAAGTTCATTACTTGACTTTTTTTTGACATATAAGACTTTTCAGTATATGCAGTTGTTGATGTTTTTAAAAGGGACATACACAACTGAATTTACCAGTTGTAAAGAATGAAATATACATGCATTTGATAACAAGGTAATTATAAATCAAAAGGGATATTGCAATCCAGTGCTCTCTAATATTTTCTCTTAGTTATTTTAAAAGTTTTGACAACAAAATAAAAATAATTTTAGAAATCATGCAGTAATGATTTGAGTCTTTCTACTTATTTTCTTCTTTCATGTCATTCATGAACACTGCCACTTTATTATAGACTAATCCATTTCTAATTTTCTAATGAAAAATCAGTAATAGTATGTCTCAGACTTTTCTGCACTGAGAAACAGTACTGCATGTTTTGATATCTGACAATACTACCCGTGGACACTGGTTTTGTTTAGAGGTGTGGGATAGGGTGATGTGGTGAGTACAAGCATGTTTTTCCATAGAAGTTTCTAGCCATGAAATCCCATAAAATGTATCCTAAACAAGCTGACATTCCCTACTACATGTATAATTTTAGTTTCACCATCTTGAAGGGGATGATTTATTTATTTACTACTGTGTATAGTACTATATGATCCTTTTTAATTTAACTCTTACATATAGTTACTCAAAATTAAGTATCCTAAGATTTATTGAAATAGGATTCATGAAGCTATTAGTATTTATTCTAGTTAAACTCTAATTTTATAGAATTTAAAATATTTTATTCTTTTTTTCTACTACCCTGAAAAATACCTTCAGTCACTTCTAGCAGTATCTTCATTTCCTCGATTGCTTTATTTTATAATTTTTTGCATATCTTCTATCTTGAACAGAAGCAACAGCAATTATATATGATAGGATTTTTTTTTTACAGGAACCTAGTTATCCCATAGAATGAAATTTACTTTTATTTCAACTTTATATTATAGAAATAAGCCACGAATCATCAGTCTACTGAATTTTAAGTTTTCTCTCTCCCTTTTTCAGTATTTCCAAGTAGTGTATAAATATTTTCTTTCTTTGGACCTCCTAATTTCTATAAGAGTTTGTACAGCTTGGCTAAAAGGTCATTTACTGCAAACAGACCCCTATACAACAAAGCTCTAACACAATCAAAATACTTATTAAAGATGTATTACTTAGTCTAATGTATTTAGGCTTATTTTAAGTTTTAATTTGGAATAATATTTTTAAAGTTGAAAGAATATGAAATAGCTATCACATTAATGATTCTAATTATAGTGTATCTAAAATAATTTAGAAGATAGACTTTTATAGTTCTTAACTAAGAACTATAAAATATCTGGACTCTAAAATATTTGCTAAGTAACATTTTAAAAGATCATATTATTAGCTGAATGTGGAGGTAAGAAATTGAGAGGATGATACAGTTTGGTGAGTTGATCTACCTTAATGCTTTCTTTGAACAATTAATTATTGTTCATCTTAACTTTTTTAAATTAAGAATTAATTTAAGTAGTTAAGAGCTAATCTTAATTTATTTTTACTAAAAATATCAACTGGAAAGAACACATTCAAAATATTGTCAATAAGAATACATGTTTAACAAGAAAATCATTTTTTTCAAAATTAAACTGATTTTCCCTTGGCAATTAAAAACATATTTACTAAAAAAAAATTCACCTCCATGAAAGAAGTCGACCCATGTTCCTTTCTCCTAGCTCATTCTTTTTGTAAAAAAAACACAGTGTTTCATCACCTTCTCCATATAGAGAGGGAGTGGGAGGGCTATAGTCTGAGTAGGGCTGCTCTGAATACACTTTTTCTCCTTGTACTGTGAGTCAAAAGAAAAAGTTGTCCCTTCCAGCATCACCTCCTCCCACATTCACAAAATCACCCTCCTCGTATCAACTGAGAAAATGAATGCGACTACTCATGATTAATTAAGAAGACATATTTTGTGTTTGATATGTTTAAAATATATCTCATTACATTTGTTTTCTTTCATGTGATTGCACATTTACAGAACTTTAGAAATAATTATATTTTGTTTTCCCTGAAGAATGAGTCATTTGTTAAATAACCTTAATATAGAGAAGCCTTTATTTAGAAAATAAACATAGAAGGTAAATATTATATGTCTTTTGTATAAATTATATAGCTTTTCCAGTAGATGTATTTTTGTATTTACAAATGTTTGATTTATAGATAAAGATGAAGGCCTAATCAAAAACAGGCATTGAATCTTCAGTATAGGAGGCATTGTGTTGACATGGAATGAGTATTTCAAAAATAGGAAGTTCTGGGGTTAGATTCTGACAGCATCATATATCAGCATTTTAACCTTGGACAAAGATATGAGCCAGTTTCTTAATCTGTAAAGTGGGGGGATAATAAGTAGCAACCAAACAGGGCTAAGGCAAGAACAATATATTCTGCTTTTGAAAATGTCTAACACCGTACAATATATGGTAGCTACTTAACATATATCATCTCTCAAAGTCACCAGAAAGAAGGCATTAGAAAGCGGATAACATTTTGTTCTTAACTAATTTTTTTTCCTGTTAATATGGTTATTGGGTCTTTACTTTAAACTAAAAAAGAGTTATGAATTGCCAGCAAGATGCTAATGGGATTCAGAAAACAATCTTTTTTTGGTTGTATTTTGCTGGGAGTCAGTAAGGAGTTTTTTTTTTTTTTAAGAATCTCAGTGATGATCAGATATTATGGCATTTGTAGGCACTTAATTCTTCTATAGCAATCTCCAAAAAAATAGTTATTTAAAATATTAGAAAATTCTAGAGAATAGGGACATTTGAAATGACATTTGGAAGCTCAAGCCTCTATCTTTGGGAATAAAAACAGCCAGGGCTAGAAAATAACTATAAACAATGTAAAATATCAGAGTTAGGAATAGATAAGGAACTTACCCACAGGAGATAGTGCTAAAAATGAAATTCAAAAGAAAAATCAGCAGGAATTTTCTTACACAAAACCTGGTGATATTCTCTGTAGGTGATCACCCAAACTGGACCTCCAGGGAGGTTTCATTCTCAGGCATGCCCGCTGGCCCACTTTACAGAGATGTCTATCTTTAGGATGACATTTAGTCAGTGAATGGGAATGTTGAATCCTGTGATAGTTAGATCTAATCTACCAAAATCCAAACAACTGTATTTCATACATTTCATTGTTCTTTGGCAAGTCATTTTTACCCACTTTCTTTTAGATTAGTTTTGAAAAATGTATATCGTTAGACAGTTAACAAAATCATTATCTTGACCTGATTCCTTTTCTTAGTGTTAGTTTTACGAGATTCTCTCTCTCTCTCTTTTTTTTTTTTTTTGCAAAAATTGTCTGTTGACAGATTATAGGACATGGAAAACAGGTTTCTTGTGATACACTAGGAGGGAATATATGCTACCAATAATCTTTGGTAGAAAATAATTAGAATTACATAATGTAATTATATTTTGTTATCAAAGGAAATAGGTAAGAAGGAATCAAAATTGGAAAAACTTATTTTGGAAAAACTTGGAATATAAACAAAATTGGGAACATGGAAGGTCCTAGGCACAGAAATAGGGAAGATAAATAAATGATCCAAACTTACTTATTTTCCCAGAACTGTCCACTGAAACAGAAAAAGAAAAACATATCAATAGGTATTGAGTTTTATATTTTCCAGATCTTGAAACTCTACACTGAACAGAATCTATGCCCTGAGCAACTAAATTCCAATTTAAATATGAGGACTTTTGTTTCCCTTAGTTCTTCTCTTGGTTTGTTGTAGTTTAGAGAGACTGTGATTGGTGAATTTATTAAAATGTTTTGACATATTTTTAGTATAACTATAAGTTTAAAGTACACAGCATATTCATTTGGTACAACTATAGATATTGTTATGTGATTGCCATTAGAGTGATAATTAGCACCTTTATCATAACACATAATATTTTTTTTATTTTTTAGTGGCTGGGTCACGTTCTAATCTTAGCAGTTTTAATGACATTATATTGCCTATATTCACTAAACTATGTATTGGCTCTCTAGGACTTATTTACCAACTGTTGCAAGTTTGTACTCTTTATTTATTTACTTATTCATACAGAACTGGGGTACAGGCCAGAGATGTGAAGGGTGAGAAGCTTCACCAGAGACAGAGCAGGGAGCAGAACAGGCAGATCGACGAAGTACACTGCTGAGGGGAGGAGAGGTCTGCCATGCCATGTGGATCTCCTCCGGGGCAGGCAGGAATCAAACTCATGCGGAAGTGGCTTAAGCTTCTTAGTGCTGTGCTTTAACCCGCTGCGCCACCAGGGAGGGCCCACAAGTGACTCATCCTATCCCTTCCATCAATGGTCCCCTGATAACTACCACTTTATTTTCTGTTTTATTGAGTTTGGCTTTTTCAGATTCCACAGATAAGGTACACCATGGTAATAGTTACATTATCATACTGTGACCAAGATCCGCCCATGCATTCTTAATGCATTTATTTTTTGTTTGGCATTTGGGTTGTTTTCATATCTTGTTGTTGTGAATGTTTCAATAAACATGGGAATACATATATCTCTATGAGATACTATTTTCTTTTCCTTTGGGTACATAGAGGTTTCTGGATCATATAGTGAATCTTGTTTTTTTTTTGAGGAATTTCTCCTGATTTCCACAGTAGGTGACATTCTCATCAACACAAGGATTGTCTTTTCTCAGCATCATCAACTGACACTTGCTATCTTGATGATAACCATTGTAATAAATGTAAAGTGATGACAGCTCATTGTGGATTATATTTGCATTTACCTGATGCTTAATGATATTAAGCATCTTTTCAGATTATCTGAAGGTCTTTGGATATCTTCTAATTCCTTGTATTGTATAGCATTGGTCTACAACATTCAACATTACATGTAACTTAGGGGTACTGGCTCACACCTCTTCAGGTGTATGTTACACACTACACCCACCACCAAACCACCCATAATCTTTCATTATAGACCATTGGGCTCCTCCACTCTTTACTTCCCTCTGTCACCTAAATTTTGTTGTCAAAATGTCTAGAATTTGTATTGGCTTAGATTTGGCGGTATTTATCTCAGGCTTATTTCTTTTAGCAAAATTACACCCAATTATATCCATGTCCTCATAAATGGCAAGGTGTTACCATTTATAGCTGAGTATTACTCCATTGTTTATATACATTCCATCTTAATCCCTTCGTCTTTTTTGGGGGACTTTGATTTGATTTACCACTTGGCTATCATAATAGTACTGCAATGAACATGGATATGCACATAGACTTTTAAATTACTGTCTTTGCATCCTTTGCATACATACCTAGGAGTGAAATTACTGGATTACAGCAAATTTATTTTTAATATTTTCAGGAGGTGCCTTACTTTTTTCCTGGAGAAGTTGGACCAATCTACATTTCCACCAATAGCTTATGAGGGTATTTTGTTCTCCACATCCTCATCAAACTTTTTGTTTCTGTTCCTTTTGACTGATTCATTCTCTCAGGTATGAGATAGCATCTCACTGTGTTTTTGATTTGCATTTCCCTGCTAAGTGGTGACAGCATATTTGCATTTTTTATTTGGCCATCTGTATGTCTTCTTTGGAGTAGTCTCTCTCATCCTTTTGCCTTCTGGGTATTTGTTTTCTTTCTGTTGAGTTATATGAGATCTTAGTACATTTTGGATATTAGCTCCTTGTTTATACAAATATTTTCCTCCATTCAGTAGGATGTCTTTATTTTAATGATCAGTTCTTTTACTGTATAATAAATATTTTTAATTATTTATCAATTATATAGTGATATTTGGAGCCTATGATTTTGATTGTTGGAGAATTTTTTTGTGATATCTATTTCCTTTATTTTTTGTAAGTGCTTGACTATGTGGTTCCGCTTTTGCATTTGAAGTAGTTGACATCTTCCTTCCTTACTTGTTCACATTCTCACAGTTCAACAGGCTGGTCGTCAAAGTCTTCTCTGTGTGTTAGAGAACATGGTACTATAGCTGATTTTGTAGTTTATCCTGTTGGAGCTTGAACTCAGGGATGCATGCTAGGCTACAAGTAAGGGGTTGCTAACAAAGAGGGAGGAGGTTTGGGTTTAGTTTCTGACACTCTGGTGGGGTTCCCAAGATCTGTAGGAGGCTCTTAGAATGGAGAACTTCCAGAACAGTGGAAAGATCTGCTGAAAGCCCCAGTCTTATGAGAAATGTTTCTTTTTGTATTTTTTGATATTCTTATCTGCATTCTTCCTTCCTCTTCTCCTCTCATTATGTTCATGGAAGTCTCCCCATTCAGAAATCCAGCTAGAGCCTGCTCAATAAAACAGCTTGGTGCTCACTCATTACTTTTAGTTGCTATATCCTTTGCCAGAGTAGTTACCTCTCATGCTACCAAAAGTCCAGTGTTTTGTAATATTACTCTGGAGAGGAGACTGACTTGCTAGGTTCCTCCACCTCTTCTCAAAACAATCTCTATCTCTCTGTTACTGTGTACAGGATTTCCCCATCAGCCTGGATGGATAACCACAATTTTCAATTGATAAAGGGTATATCTCTACTTTTGTATCCTCTCTGTCCCCTTTTACCTGGAGAGTTGGGGTGGGGAGAGGCCACTGACTTCTTAAGATCAGCTGCCCTCAAGAAAATGCCCCTATCTACCCATTTTCTGATGTATAGGTGGACTGGTACATCAGGCATCCTGATATAATGTATAGAGTCACTTTGGTTCACTTATGGATATCTTTAGTTGTAAACCAATGAAAATAAAAAAGAATGATCATTTCTGCCATGATGCTGATGTCACTAGGGATAGTTATTTTAATTGTCTTTACTTTTCATTAACCATTAGCAATTTTGTCTAGTTATAACATTAAAACTTATAAAACAGAGTAAGTATAATGTTTTTGCTTAGGAGATGCATTCAAATATTACTCACTGACAGTGTTTTATGAAATATTTAAGGTTATTCTGTTGCCAGGTAATGAAATGGTAGTGTATCTCTTATAGGGATGTCACTTAGTCAAACTAACATAAAAAGCACAAAGTAATAGTAAAACATGGAATTGTGAATAACACAATATGCAGGATTATGTTTATCAGGGATGAGAATGGGTATTTAAATTCTGGAGCAAATGTTGGTTAAGAGCAGCCCATGGAAAAAATCCAGACTGCCATCTATTTTTTGTACAGTTTCTGACAAAAGGATGAATCTTACATTTTAAAATACTTTATTAGTATATGTTTTTATCATTTTACTGTAATGTTGAATTTGAATTTAGTTTCTTAGAGGTAGCCTGTAATTGGGTCACGTTTTTAATCTATTTTGCTACTTTTTTTTTCTAACAAAGCCATTTTATTTTTTTCCCCACAGCTATAGTAAGAGAAAATTACAGGAGTTTTCCATATGTCTGTGTCCTTATATATGCACAGTCTTCCCCATTGTCAATATTTCCCACCAGAATGATGTATTTGTTGCAATAGATGAACATCATAATCATCCTAAATCTATAGTTTCCATTATGTATTATACATTTGATGGGTTTAGAAAAATGTATCATGACATTTATCTATCAACATATTATTATATAATGTGTATTTTTCCTATGAGAAAATGTCCTTTCATGAGCTCAGCCTGTTCATCTCTCCCTATCATATTGTCTGTGACAACCCCTGATTATATTTTCCATACATTTGCTCTTGAGAATATCAGATAGAAGAGATCATACTTTGTGTAGTATTCTTTTACATAGTAGTATGCATTTAAGTTTTGATCATCTTTTCATGATACCTAGCCCATTTCTTTTTAGTGTTGAATAATAGTCTATTATATGCATGTGCCACAGTTAATTTATCCATTCATCTACTAAAGGCCATTTTGGTTGCTTTAGTTTTGGCAACTATGAACAAAGTTACAATGACTCTGAGTACTTGTTTTTGCATGGACATAAACTTTCAACTTTTGGGTAAATACCAGTGAGTGTATTGTGCAACAATTTTACATTTAGTTTTATAAAGATTTACCAAATTATTTTATAAAGTGACTGTGCCATTCTACATTTCTATAAGTTATAAAAACAGTTATTATTGCTTTAAATCTTTGTCAACAATTGGTGTTATCAATGTTCTGGATTTTGGCCATTCTAATAGGTGTGTAGCAGAATCTCATTTTGTTTTGATTTATAGAACTTTAAGAGTTCTTTGTATATTTTGGATTGGAGTCATTTATAAAATGTATGTTTTACAAATTTTTTTTTCTCGTTTTTGGCTATCTTCTATTTTATTGACAGTGTTTTTTGCATAGCAGAAAATTTTACTTTTAATGCAAGTTCAGTTTATTATATTATCTTTCATGAATCATGTTTTAGCAATATATATTTAATGTATATAGATATGTATGTGTATATATGTGTGTATGCATGTGTGTGTGTGTAGCCATACTGAAGGTTATATAGGTTTCTCTTAGTTTTTATAGGTAGTCAGGTAGCATACATCATGCAATTTTTTCTCCTTTAATGGTGTGTTGTTTATTTTATGCCTTTGTATTTCCACATAAATTTTAGAATAAGTTTGTTAATATTCACAAAATGCCTTACTGAAATTTTTATTTGGATTAAGC